TTTTTTATTGAATCACTGTGGGAAAAGTTACAAAGCTTTCAGGTTTAAGTCTCGGTCATGCATATATCAAACACATTTCCCTTTACCAATACTTATTTTTCACCATAAAGAACCCCAATAACCCTGCCCCCAACCCTCCCAATGCCCTGTGAGGCAGATGAATTCTAGTTAACACTCTATCTATTTTGACTAGATTCATTGTTTCGACAAAAGATGCATCAATATTATTTAGCGTTTACACCCCCAAATCAGACATGCTGAAAAGGCATTGTGAAATAATTTGTTTTCTACAGCTGGTCACAAGGATTTAGGATTTCTGCTATCTTACTTATTAAGCCTGGAAGTATTTCTGCTGAGAGTCAGATAATTAAGAGATTGGTTTCTGTGCTCTGGGGCCATGGCCGTGCAGGAGAGCAACTCGTGGGTGACCTCGGTAGGGCGTGAAGGACAAGCCGGGAACGCCCTCCTTCCCATGAGGTTTTAGTCGCCCCATCACGACCGACTCATACCTGGCTTTCCACAGAGCTCCTAAGCGGCTGCCATCTTTCTTTCCAGAGAGAAAAAGCACATAATTTGTTTTTATTGTTGTTTTAATTTTTGTGGAGCCCTGGTAGTGCTCAGGACTGACTCCTGGCTCTGTGCTCAAGGATCACTTTTAATGGTGCTCAGTGGAGCATATGTGATATCAAGGTTGAATGGGGCCAAGTAATAGCAAGGCAACCTCCTTCAATCCCTGTACTATCTTTCTAGCCTCATAGATGGGGTAACCCCACCTCCCAGATTTAGTGGTAAGCATTTGTCTTAGATCTTTCCAATCAGAATTGCTGATTGGTTCAGTGAGGAGTGGGTGACTGAATTAAAATCATTGGGATTTCTCCCTAAGCGTTTTGCTGAAATCATCGGAATAAAAGGTTCTGTTTTTTGGTGTCTCTGGATAAAAACTGGAGGGAGTTGTGAGGACTTTACATGAAAAAGAATCCCGGAGGAAGAAGCCATTCAAGAGCAAATTAGAGACACCTAAACTTTATGATGCATTATTGGGAGCTCGTACATATAGATTCAGCTATTCTTAAGCCTAAAAGTAATCTGCCTGGCATAAATCAATTCTACCCTCTCTGCACTTTTTTTCCCCTCCTCAGCAAGTTTAAGTTGGGATTCTGGGCTGTATAATTAAAAGGCACTAACACATCTTTGACTTATTTATTAGCTTCAAGAGGACAAAGGCCTGATTTTTTTTTTGCTTTTGTCTTCTCAGAGTCTAGTATATTACCTGATCAAAGAGAATTGTTAAAAAAGGGTGTTGTTGCTCATTCACGAACTGACACTCAATTCATTTAGTCCAGTTCTTCCAAGAACCTACAATGAGCTAAGCATTGAGATCACAGGGATTAATTGACATAGTCTAAACTTAGTAAAAAGAATGGTCAAAAACAAACATGAGGGATATCAGTTTGTAGAGTGATAGATAGTAGAGTGCTTAAAGATAGTAGAGATATAGAGATATTGGAGTGCTTAAAGCACTTGCCTTGCACCCCAGCTTGATCCCCAGAACTACATATACTCTCCTGAACACTGCCAAGAGTCCCTGGTATAGTTAAAAAAACAAAAAGAAAATACACCATTCTGTTTCTTAGAGATTTGCTGCTATCTCAACTTGAGATGTCTACTCAAACTCTCTCCCTTCTAGAGAAGATCATCTTCTCTCACTATTAAAAAAACAAACATGTAATTTTTACCTGGACTATTCAAAAAATATGAACACATTTTTGTAGGATCCCAAAGGGTGGTAGGTTTGAAAAGATGTGATCTGAGAAGTCTTACCATGGGAAGTGACATCTAAGTTGATATTTTTATTTATTGATTTATTTTTGGCTTTTTAGGTTACATCTGGCAATGCTCAGGGGTTACTCCTGGCTCTGCATTCAGAAATTCTCCTGTTAGTGTTCAGAGGATCATATGGGATGCCAGTGATCAAACCCAGGTTGGCCACATGCAATGGAAATGCCCTACCCACTGTACTAAGGCCCCAGCCCCTGAGTTGATATTTTAAAGAAAAAATAGCATCCTAGAAAAATATATATGTGTGTGTTGGGGGGGCAACAAGATAATATATAGCATATATAATAGTACATAGTGTATTTAATGCTTACCTTGCTTATGGATGACCTGGGTTCAATCCCCAAGCACTGTTAGTACTTATCCCTGAGTACAAAGCCAGGAGTAAGCCCTGAGTACTATTGGGTGTGACCCCAAGATTCAAAATATAAAAGTAAAAGAAATGGGAGTCAGAAGAAGGTATTCTTGAATAGGTAATTCCAAGATAGAGAGAACAAGAGTATATATCATTATAAAATTTCTGAACATCACCAACTTCTCTTTCTCTAATTTCTGCACATTCTCTTTATTCTGTATTCCTGCCCACATATTAATAAACTCATCAGAGTGGTTTTGACTTTAGACACTTAGGCTGGAGAGATAGTATAGGGTTCAATGCACGTGACTTGCATGAAGCCAAACTTGATTCGATTCCCAGTACCACATGGACATCCAAGAATCACTGAAGAGCCCTGGAGTCTCACTGAGCACTGCCAGAATGGCCTGAGTAATCCCTGGTACCACAGAACTGCATTCTCAGGCTTATACTTTGAATTGCCAGGTCAGTTGGCCAAAAATCTTCAAGAGGAGCCCCCAAGCTTCTGAGCACTGCTTAGGAGTTTCCACCCTAGAAAAAAATAGAAAAAGGAAGGAAAAAAGTTAAACTGTTAAGAACCCAGAAATGAGCAGTATGGTGGGAATGCTGACTGGTTCAGGCCTTTTAGAAAACAGTATGGACGATTCTCAAAAAATTAGAAATTGAGCTCCCATTTAACCCAGCAATACCACTCCTGGGAATATGTCCCAGAGATGCAAAAAAAGTATAGTCGAAGTGACATCTGCACTTGTTTGTTCATTGCAGCACTCTTTACAATAGCCAGAGTCTGGAAAAAACCTGAGTGCCCGAGAACAGATGACTGGTTAAAGAAACTTTGGTATATCTAAACAATGGAGTACTATGTAGCTGTTAGAAAAGATGAAGTCATGAAATTTACATACATGTGGTACTACATGGAAAGTATCATGCTAAGTGAAATGAGTCAGAAAGAGAGGGACAGACAGAAATAGAAAGATTGCATTCATCTGGGGAACATAAAGTAACAAAATAGGAGACTAACACTCAAGAATAGCCGAGATAAGTACCAGGAGGTTCACTCCATGGCTTGGAGGCCAACCGCATATGCTAGGGGGCAAAGACAGTTCAGATAGAGAAGGGAGCACCAAATAAAGGGTGTTGGGAAGATCCTCCCAGGATGGGAGATGCATGCTGAAAGTAGACTATAGACTGAATATGATTGCCACTCAATGCCTCTTTTGCAAACCACACCACCCAAAAGGAGAGAGAGAGAACAAAAGGGAATGCCCTGCCACAGAGGCAGGGTGGGATGAAGGGGATGAGGGGCGGGATGAATACTGAGATCAGTGGTGGTGGAGGATGGGCACTGGTGGAGGGATGGGTACTCGATCATTGTATAACTGAAACCCAAGCACAAAAATTTGTAAGTCTACAACTGTACCTCATGGTGTTTCACTAAAAAAATTTAAAAGAAAGGAAGGAAGGAAGGAAGGAAGGAAGGAAGGAAGGAAGGAAGGAAGGAAGGAAGGAAGAAAGAAAGGAAGAAAGGAGCAGTAGAGAAGAATGAAGTAGTAAAATAGAGCCTTGAATGTGCGAGACTCTGGGTTAATCCCCTACACTGCAAAAGACTTCAGACTTTGACTTATCTAAACAAACAAAAACAACAATCAAATGAAATAAAATGAGCAAAAGAGTTGAAAAGTCACATCCAAAGAGGACATGATCAGTAGGCACACGAGAAAAAGCTAATCATTACTGATCATCAGGAAGTTGCCAATTAAGGCCATAATGGGACACTGTCTCACACTAGTGCGAATAGTTTACATCAAAAGCAGCAATAACAAGTGTTAGAGAGGAGGAAAAGAAACTCTAATGCGCTGTTGGTGGGAATGTAAATTGATGAGAGATGTAATGATGAGACCTCTCGAAAAACTATCAAAAATGGGGAGAGGAAATGAATAGAGACCTCTCTGAGGAGGATAGCCTTGGCCTATTCCTTTTTTTTTTCTTTTTGGGTCACACCTGGTGATGCTTAGGGGTCACTCCTGGCTCATGCACTCAGGAATTACTCCTGGTGGTGTTCGGGGAACCATATGGGATGCTGGGAATTGAACCCTGGTCGGCCGCATGCAAGGCAAACACCCTACCTGCTGTACTATCACTCCAACCCCCTAAAAACCAAACTTTAAAAAGTGGCTGTCAAGAGCAGTAGAGAAGCAGGTGGGAAGGAAACCTGGGAACACTGGTGGAGGGAAGTTGACACTGGTGGTGGGATTGATGCTATCACACTATATATCTAAAACTCAACTAAAAATAGCCTTATAAATCATGGTGCTTAAATAATTAAAAGGTAAAGGTAAAGGCCCTCCCGTTGATCGTCGATTTGCTCGAGCGGGCCCAGTAACGTCTCCATTGGAGACTTTGTTGTTACTGTGTCTGGCATATCCAATACTCTCGGTAGCTTGCCGGGCTCTCCGAGAGGGGCGGAGGAATCGAACTCGGGTCGGCCATGTTGGCCGCACGTAAGGCGAACGCCCTACCCGTTGTGCTATCGCTCCAGCTGGAGCGCTGGAGCGATAGCACAGCAGGTAGGGCGTCTGCCTTACAAGCGGCCAACATGGCCGACCCGAGTTCGATTCCTCCGCCCCTCTCGGAGAGCCCGGCAAGCTACCGAGAGTATTCGATATGCCAGACACAGTAACAACAAAGTCTCCAATGGAGACGTTACTGGGTCGGCTCGAGCAAATCGATGATCAATGGGAGGGCCTCGAGCAAATTAATTAATATAGAATTGCTTAAATAATTATTTTAAATTAAAGACCATGATATGGCTTCCTTCAGCAGCACATATTCTAAAATTGAAATGAAACAGAAGATTAGCATGGCCCCTGTGCAAGAACAACATACAAATGTGTGAAACGTTCCATAATTTTTATATAGCTTTAAAGAGTATATGGGACTGGAACAATACTACAGTGGGTAGGGTGATTGTCTTGTACATGGCCAACCTAGGTTCAATCTCTGGCATCCCATATGGTCCCTGAACACCACCAGGGCCAATTCCTGAGTACAGTGTCAAGAGTAACCCATGAGCTTCTTTGGGTGTGGCCCAAAAACAAAACAACAGAAAGTGTTCAGATAAAATTTTTAAAGAAAGAAACTAGAAAGAGATCTGTTATATATAAGTAATCTAGCACTCCTACTTTTGGGTAACTATTTGCAAAAACGTTAATATAAAAGTTACATCCACCCCAGTGTTTATTACTACAGCATTATTTGCGATTACTAATGTAGGAAAGCAACCCCAAATCCTTGTTGATAGATAATAGAACAAATATTTGGTATACTTATAAAAAGAAGTACTTTAGATATATTTTTTAGATTAAATGTTGCCCATCACAGCAAAATAGAAAAAGTTCAAGAGGAAATGTGAAGCAAAATCAGAAGGGAAAAAATCAAATATTGGATGATTCCACTTTTGTGTGCAATTAACAATTTGGAAAACTGTAGAGTAGACAGACTAGTGCCTGGGGATGTTGCCTCTAAGTCTGTGAAGTCCTGGGTTTGATTTCTGGCACCATGTGATTCCCTGAGCACAATCTGAGAGTTCCGCACCCTACCCAGTACCACAAGAAATGACCCCAAAACAAAACAAACCAAAAATGAATCAGTGAACATAGATAAATACAACCCGAGTTACCAGAGTAGAATAGGTTGAGGCAAGAAAAACAAAAAATAACTCTTGGGGCTGTAATCACAGTAGGGTAACTATCATTAATATTATATTATATATCTGAAAATTGTCAAGAAAATAGATCTTAAAAGTTCTCATCATAAGAAAAAACTACTTGGAACTATATGTAATAAGGGAAGTTTACTAGATTTATTGAGATCTATTTCATAATATATATAAACATGATTTCATTATGTCATCTACCTAAAATTAATATATTGTAATGTGTCCATTATATTCCAATAAAAAATAATTTAAAAAATCATAATGTATTTTAAAATACTTAGAACTTGAGGGCCCAAAGAGATAAAACAGTGGGTAAAAGCACTTGCCTTGCACAATGCTGACCTTAGATTAGTCCCTGGTACTCCATATGGTTTCCTTGAACACCTCTAGGAGCGATCCCTGAACACAGAGTCATGTGTAAATTCTGAGAACTACAGGTGTGGCCACCAAACCAAAATTAATTAATTAACAAAGTACCTGAAATATAGGGGCTGGGGATATGATTCAAAAGGTGAAGCAAAAGAAAAACATAAACACCACTATTAAGAGACAGACAGACAGATAGATGTAGCATATATGTGTATGTATGTATAACTGTCACTGTCCTCCCGTTGTTCATCGATTTGCTGGAGCGGGCCCAGTAACATTGTGAGACTTGTTACTGTGTTTGGCATATCGAATATGGGTAGCTTGCCAGGCTTTGCCGTGTGGGCGAGATACTCTCGGTAGCTTGCCAGGCTCTCCCAGAGGGGCGGGAGAATCGAACTCGGGTCGGCCATGCTGGCTGCATGCAAGGCAAACGCCCTACCCGCTGTGCTATCACTCCAGCCCGTATGTATGTATACTGAAGGGGGGAAAAAGGGACTGAAGTTCAAGTCTGGCACGTGGGAGGCCCTAAGTATCAATTTCCCACCCCTCCCACTATGGGGTGTAGCACTGGCAGTGCCCGGTACTCTCAGGTAAGAATGCTGCTGCACTAGCTGGGCACTGGACCATGTGTGAACTCCCCAACACTGACTTTGTTTAGAAAATCTCTGGAAGTACTAGAGCGATAAGACAAAGGACAGCACTCTTGAAGTGCACAGGGTCTAGTGGGGTTCAATCCAGGGCACTGCTTATGGTCCCCCAAGTTCACCAGGAGTGATCCCTGAGCGCTGAGCCAGGAGTAAGCACTGAGCACTGGCAGATGGTCTCAAAACGAAAGAACACAATTTAAGAAATAAATAAAAATAGAAGCTTCCTTGTGATATCCAGGGCCCCAATTCTTTTACCAAATACTTTGCTTATGAGGCATTGATTCTGTAGACCCTGCTCTAGAGAGAGCTCCCACTGAAAAGAAACAGCGCTTGGCCCCAGCTCAGGAAAGGGGGCAAAGAATAAAGGTTTTGTTTCTTTTACTAACCTTTTTGATTTTGGGGTAATCCATTTATATCTTAAAATATAAAAGAGCAGTCTTATTGTCTTCATAAGATTGTTAAACCTTTTGTTTAAAGTTTTGTTAAGAACTTTAAACAAAACAAAAAATTCAATGAGTGAATTTGGCATAAGGTGAAACTCAAGAAATAATCAGCTGGGGCTGGAGTAATAGCACAGCGGGTAGGGAGTTGGCCTTGCACGTGGCCGACCCGGGTTCGATTTCCAGCATCCCATATGGTCCCCTGAACACCACTAGGAGTAATTCCTGAGTGCATGATCCAGGAGTAACCCCTGTGCATTGCCGGGTGTGACCCAAAAACAAACAAACAAACAAAATCAGCTGCTTTAATTTTCCCTGTCTTACTTGCTGTCCTCAAAGCACCAAGGAAAAGAAAACCTCAGCCAAATGGGTACAAACAGAAAGGAGATTCTTCTCTCTTTTCTTACAGGCAGTCTTCAGGCAGCCTAGACTCGGATGGGATCATCGGGGCTCTGACTTGCTTCTCAGCCCTATTCCTCTCTGCTCTCTTCTTTGTGTTGGCTTAGTCTATAAGCTGGCTTTCTCACGGAGATGGCCGTGTCACCGTGTCCTGAACAACTGTGACAACATACTTCCTTGTACATATCTACCACAATGCAGAAAAGCCTCCCTCCAAGAGAAGTACAAACCCTTTCTTTCAGAATGTTGAGGTCAGGTTGCAGGCCTGCCCTGGACCAGTAAGTCACTGGGCTGATGATCTCTTGCGCTTACTGGCCTCAGCCTGGCTCCATGAAGCACCCACTTCTCAGTGAAGCTGAGTTACGAGGACTCCTTTAGACTAACTGGAACCATCCCTGGGACTCAGAATGGGGGTCCAGTTTTCTTCCCCTCACGTGGCTACCTCACAGCTAGGAGAAGGGATAAATCGCTCTATGTTGGTGGGACAACCAACAGCACCTTCTATGATGATAATTTTTTTTCTTTCCTTCTTTACAAGTTTCTCTTTAGGTTTTGGCTTAAAGCACTGGTTCCCGAGGAGCTCTTTGACCTTGAGACCAGTTGCATAAAAATAACACCCACGCTCCCACCCACCGCCATCTCTCCTCTCCTCAGGACTTTCTTTCTCTCGAAGCCTGCCTGAGCTTCAAGAAAGTTTTATCTCCACCTGATACACCTCATACTTTTATTTATTGTTTATTTTGTATCCTCCCTCTAGGATACAAACTCCATCCAGAAAGGTAGTTATGGTGTGTTGCCCTTCTAGTTGCTCTAAGAATTTTGGCTCATGGTTGACCTTCACTCTAGTCTGTTGAGAGAGGAACTGACTTCAGATCCCTCCTTCTCCCACAAAACCTGTCATTGTCCTCTGTCTTAGTTCATTCTTTTCTCCTTTCCCAGCTCTCACCACCTTTCCCCTCATCTGTCTCCCTGTTCCACTAATGTCCATGGGCAGAGGAGATTGGTACTGTCTCTGGGCTTTTGTTCCACGTAGTATTCACTGGAAACCTCCTGTTTATTGTGGGAGCCACACCTGGCAGTGCTGAGGTAGAGGGTGGGGAATGTGCTCTGCTACATGAGTCACATCCCTGGTCCTAATTTCTGTTCATGATTACCTCTCATTCTCAACATAGAACATATTAAGTAGTTCATGCTCAAAATCAGAAAAACTCAATGTTTCTTTCACCTGGCATCTCAATTTCTGGGAAACTGCACTTCCATTTTCATGCAAGATTGAGGACTGAGCATTTCCCCAGGTGCTTCAGAGTCCACGGCTTTGTAAGTTTGTAGCTCCTCTGAAATCTCTTTTTGTGTAAGTTCTTTCTAATTTTCAGAAGAGGAAAGTATTTTTGCTTGCTCTCATAACACCCCATCCTCTATCTTGCCTGCCTCTAAGGAGAGATCCAGGATAAAGTTTTCTAGCATAGCAGGTAGAGCACTTGCCTTGCACCTGGCCAACCATGCCAACTGGGTTTGATTCCTCCGCCCCTCTTGGAGAGCCTGGTAAGCTACCAAGAGTATTTCACCCACACAGCAAAGCCTGGCAAGCTACCCATGACGTATTGGATATGCCAAACACAGTAACAACAAGTCTCACAATGGAGAAGTTACTGGGCCCGCTCGAGCTAATCGATGAACAACGGAAGGATGGTGCACAGTGCACAGTTCTTTTTTAAAAAATTATTTTAATTGAATCACTATGAGTTATACAATTACAACGTTATTTAAGATTGGATTTCAGTAGTACAATGCTCCAATGCCCGTCCATTCACCAGTGTACATTTCCCACCACCAATGTCCCTACTTTCCCTCCTGTCACCACCTGCCCCCCACACCCCCAGCTTGTCTCTGTGGTAAGCACTTTCTCTCTCTCTCTCTGTCTCTCTGTCTCTCTGTCTCTCTGTCTCTCTCTCTCTCTCTCTCACACACACACACACACACACACACACACACAGTCTCTCTCTCTCCCCTCCCCCTCTTTCTGTCTTTCTCCTTTTGGGCGTTGTGGTTTGCAATACAGGAATTGAAAGGTTATCATGTATATCCTTTTACCTCCTTTCAGCACTCAGTTCTTATCCAGAACGATCATTTCCAACTATCATTGTTAATAGTGGTACCTTCCCTGTTTCTCAGACTTTCTTTTCTTGCACGATCTTTTCTAGGGTGGGACAAAAGAACAATGAAAACAGTAATAACAAATGACATTTACTTTGACAGAAATTTGCCATGAAATATCTTTCTTAATTATAAAATGAATGTGCTCATGAAATGTTTCTTGTTTAAAGTAGAACCTTTAAGTT